CCATTGGGAGCCGGTGTCCAGTTCATCGGATCATACGCCCTTCGGACGGGGTCAGACGTCCAAGGTGCCCAATACACCTCAATGCCCAATCGAGCCGGTGACCACTGCCACAACCGAAAAGGTGTGGGTGTGGTTCGTACGTCTCCTCATGCTTGGTTTGGAATCAGAGTTTTTGGCCAACTCCCCTAGGTGAACTGCCAGTGGTCCACCAACCCGGCTATAGCCCCGGATATCGGCTTTTCGTCCTCTCACTTTGGTGGGAAAACACCTCCGCCGCGAGAAGGCAGTGAGTAGGGCTTCCTCAGTAGAGGCTATTTGAGACGCTTGGTCGTATGGGGGCATTTCGTGAGGCGCAAGGGCAGGGTGACCAGCCGCAACCCTAGACACCCACCCCAACCATACTGAGACCTTGGGAGGCCAGTTCAGTTAATACAAACATTAGCCTTGCACTGTCTCGCAGCGGTTTTTGTAGGCTGCCTCTTCTGATAAAGAAGTAGAGAGAAGAAACGCAATGTCGGAAGCTCTACATTCGGTTAAAGATAGAGAGCTCAGATAGACCAAGGTTACGATGAAATTGAGTAGGAGTAGTCAGAACAACAGTATATCTCCCCGTATCAGGTTAGTACTAGGACGAGCCTATTTCACATTTGATGTTCATCACGGGAATTCTTCACGTCAAGGGCAAACAAATGGCGCTCATGATGATCACCTTATTGGAAATTCTGTCTACCACTCCGGTAAACAAGTTTGACAACGCAATCAGCTACAAACATTTTATTTATGCCTTTAGAGGTAGACAATGAGCGCTGAGTGGCTGTATTCATTGTAAAGATTTGATCCGGACTAGGACTCGATGTCAAAAGATAATGTGTGTCTGTGTGTGTTTAAGAGAGAGATAGAGAATAAATTAGGGCCACTTGTGTTTAACGCTGTGGTTTGTAACGCACCAGTTTGTCCATCAATTCCGCTTTTCTCCCTGGTTGTACAGTGCGAATGCGATCGCACAACCGTTGCGTAATCTTCGTTGATTTAGACGTGTTGTTTGAATGAATCGATTTAAGGACAAGATGTTACCCCTTCCTCTTTGCCCCTGCCACCATTTTTGCGTCATTGATTATAACCTCACGACTTGTCTTTGCGTACTGATTTCAAAGGCGTGACTTCGGATCGGCACTTCGTGGTGCAAGTGTGTGCTGGTGCAGGCCAGTGCATAATTGTTTGCCTGTCTTTCCAACATAATGTTGGTCACAGTCTGGGCAAGGAATTACGTCCTTCACCCGTGATTGGTAGTGTGGTTCTACGAGGTCCTTGCCGTTAGGCAAATGACACACACACGCATATATATATATATATATATATATATATATATCACACCAATCATTACAGATAAGGCGCCAAAAATAACCATGGGTTAACGGGAAAATATGCATACAGGAGCGCGAAAAACAAAACAACCAACTTGAGGGAATAACAATTTTTCTGTTTGTGGAGCGGGATAATTAATTGGTCTGGGTATATTTAACACTTTCCTTTCAAAGGAGCGAAAAGGCTCCAAGTGGCATGAAACAGCGGATTTTCCCCTTTACATTATCCAAATTTTCAAGCGTTGTTGGAAAGGGTGAATGAGAAAAGAGTATTTTTGAGCAACTAAACGGATTTGGCGATTCATTTTGGCGGAGCATTCTTCAAATCTCATCTTCACATATAATAGTTGGCTTATCTAATTAATCATACCTTCGCGAGATACTAAAGTTGAGTTTTTCTCTTGTTACAATTGATCAGTGGCGCAGGTCTACCGTCCCATCAAGAATTTTCATGTTTCAGTCCTCACATAGAAGACGTGAATTTGAACATTGTCCCAATCAGCTGACAGTGGGGTTAATCAGGATTATCGATTAAGGTTTACTAGAATGTAATCGTCAATGAAAGTCAGTTAGTTTATCTACTTCGATGGTGACCAAGCGGAAGAGAACTGCTATCATCAGTTCTAATCTAAATCTTTACAAGAAACCAGGTCTCCCTAGTCTAAACGGAACCAGTATATGTACCATAACGGTGGATGCATAATAAATACAGATCTCATTCAATATATTCTAATTTTACTCACTTCTAAACAAAACAACTAACAAAATAAGCGATGTCGTCAAAATTTTGCAGGGTTCTTATCATTTCTTACCTGAAGTGAAAGATTTGTGAACAGGTTAGTTCAAATTCTTTCACCATGGTCAATCACAATGCTTGAAAATCTGTGATTGTCTATGACATATGTGCAAACAAAAACCTTACAACTCACCGGCAGCTTCCATGTGTCTGTGAATACTTCGTTCCAGTTCCGGTTTCAATTGCTCATAGGTTTCATTCCACAGTTTGTCGCTCAATTTCCGACGATGTACAGATTTTCTGCTTTCCAATAGTTGAGCATTGGCAGATCGATCTGTCTCAAGGCCATCAGCCTCAAGATCTTCTTGATCAAGGGACCAAGTGGATTGTTTGAAACCACTTTGATCCACCTCCGGATAGTCGGACTTATTGGGCCGAGTGTGACTGGGTTTGGATGATGACCAATCATTGTCGGTGGGATGCTCGATCAATACCGGTCTCTTTTGTGGTGTTATGGGTGAATCATCGTGTAACAACGGAGTATGTTTAGACTGACAGAATGATCGTGGATTTATGTAGTGAGAACTGAAAAATAGATTATGCAATTGAAAACGATTAGACCGGTTTTTAATCAATCTACCATACGAATCACAAATCTCTGTCTCTGTATTAGATACGGTAGTAACCTTTTACGTGTTCGTATGTTTGTTCGCATGTATAATCATTTGGTGTTCTGAATTGAACTCACCGATTTATGTACTTAATCTTTCGTTTCATTGTTTCATTGATGGTACTAAGATCATATGGAACAGCAAACAAAAAGTTTAATCCCGGTGTTTCGAATAATGCATACAGCTTACCAAATGCATTAACTAGCACAGAAGAGGTTGTACTTTCGTATGACATCTTTCAGGTAGAATGACGAGAATAAATCTCGTACTTTATCTGTACTTTTTAAGTTGGCGAGACTAACCGTTTAGGCAGTGCCTAATCACCTTGGCGTAAGGTTCAGTCATGAAGTACTGAAATAAAGAAAGGGAATCGGTATATTTAATCCTGTACATCAGGTGGTTATCCAATATAAACGGGTGAAAGCAACCCACCCACTCAAATATAGAGAGGTAGTTGCAAGAGGTACTTCCAAATATACCTGATCGTTTTGCCGCGTTGCATGAACAAACCAAGTCGTGCATTCCAGAATAGCTCCGTGAGATTACCTCATTTTAACTTTCCTTTATTTTTGGATGAGTTCAGAACAATTCTGGACATCTTTTGTAGAAAACAAAGAAGAATTACTGCAGTAAATTGGGAAACGTCCAACAATCATTTTTCCCAGATTTTTGATGTGAGACATTGCGCAGTTTGATTTCAGTCATTAGCCATGCAATTTCGTGCGCACTTAAAACTGAATAGGTCCCGATCGGCATTCAAAAGCTATTAACTCATTAAGACTAAGTATGTGAGGTCTAATTATGAGCCTTTGTTGTTCCTTATCGACCCGGGACCAGCAGAGCATCAGAAGCAAAAGGAGTGTAGAATGCTGGTCATTTTCCTGTTTGAGGATATATAAGAGACTGAGAGGAATGTCCTTTAGATGGTTAGATCCAGTAGAACACAAATACAAGCATTTCTACATCTGTCTGGGGCTGAAGCCACGGACCAATGATTTACACTTCAGGCAGTGTATAATTCTGTTGGCAAATCACGCAATATGCCTACTGATCAAGAACACCCAATTTCGGTTAACATATGTTGCTCTAAATGTCTCCTAGGTTGCGTACTCAAAGTCTGAAAAAAAACTTCCAGGAAGGACAACCCACTAAAATCAAATTCCCGATGAATTCATTCACAAAGCCGACTGGTTCCTGCGTAGGATAAAGTTGCCAAACATTTGAAAACCAGACCGCGAGAGGGAAATAGAGCAGATCTGAGCAAGCATGACCATAAAGACATCATTTGTGCTTTATGCCATGAATCCTTTCTGCTGGGTATCCATCGAGAAGTTGCATAGACATAGGGGACCGGTACCCCAACTCAAATGCCTCAAACAAAATGGAGGCCAAACACGAGTCTTTCGCCGTTAACGATGAGGTCAACAACTCTGTTTTCGAACCAATCGATTTTTCGAAATTTTGGAGAAGTTGCCCTGATGATGTCTGCAAACAACATCTTCAGGATGGGAGAATACACCAATACCAGCATCCGCAAACCGAGCAAAAAACATTCCACATTATATCCAACAATGTATAATTTTCTCCTCCTTTATGTGATTTTTATAACCGTGATCTGGAACCACAGAACAGTTTCTCCAATGGTTATCTCAGAAAGGTAAACAAATCAGAGAGTTAGTGTTGAAATGTTACGAACAGAATACCGGATTCGGTGAAAGGGGAACGGTTGGTTGCCATGGCAGTTCGTGTGCTAATTATACTAATGAACAGTAAAACTGTGCAATAATAGAGGCAAAGACATCCACAAATTGTGTAGCACATCCCACAAAGACGAGAGAGATGGTTCAGCCGGTTGAACATAAATAGATCAATACATTGACACAAAAGTGCAAAAGACATTTAAAAATGTCAAGAGCCAATCCTTCAAGTTAGCCTTCTAAAGGAATTGGTAGATTGTTATCGCATGTGGAATAGGAAATGAATTTATTAGGAGAATATTGATTGAGATTTTGAGGATAAACTGGTGAAAATTCAGAAAAACGTTATGACCAAGAGGAAGTTTGAGAAAGATTTGAATCATATGCTGGGCCATTTTGATATTAATTTTTTGTTTATTTGAGTTAAAGCTAATATGAAAAAAGGGCGATAATTATGTAAGACACGAATCATAAATAGTAATGAACTGCTTTTTCTTCTCTTCGGTATACCTTGTAAGCATGCACGGATTCGGTACCATGACGGGTTGAGGGAAGGCATACGGGACACCGGGGTACACGGATGAAGGAATGGCCGCGGTCTGGGGGGACTGACACAGTCGGGTTGCTAGTTTATCCGTCAACCGAGTTTGCTTCTCTGTTCGATCCATCAAACGACTATTCTCTCGAGCAAGCCAATCTCGATCCGCTTCTAGTTCAGCTACACGTCGACGGAGTGAGGTCAGCTCCGGTTCCAGATCACACATTCGTCTAGACTCATTGCATCGGGGTGAGGATGGTGCAGTGGTTGAATGATGCGGTGATGCTTGACCATGAAATATTGGCTGTGAGTACCAGTTAGAAGAAGGGAAGAGGATACCCAGTACCGATGAAATCTAAATTAATCAACACTGATTTTCTGAAATCACGCACTTCGAACCAAGTTACTTTCGTATGTAAGCTGCTCAAGCGCACACTAGAGCATTATGTGATCAGTACTCAAAAGCTAATACTGTGTTTGAAATGATTTGGAATGATTGTAGCTCGGGATGAGCTCGGAGAACTCACCAACACCAACAATACCAATATTGTGTATGTTACTCGTATTTCATTTCCAACCGAAGGAAACAAAACACACGGATGGAACTTTCGGGCTTCTGATTATCCGAACGAATGTGAGCACACTTTTAGTAAATATTAACTGGATTTATTAATGTTTATTGAGAACAAAAACACCCAAACAAAGAAACACTTAACGTCATCCAACAGACCACCACTTTCCAGTTAGGTCTGTTGCAATTTGGACGAAAGGAAAGAGATTGCTCTTGTAGTTGCAAACTACATAACAAAATAAATAAAGAATTCCCATCGCTAGCAATGGTTTTCTTTTTATAAAGATTATTGTGCCATGATTTAAGTGACACAATCTGGTGTCAGACGTGTGTGAAATATAGCAATAATAATCACTAGGATGCTTAGGAGAGAAAAATACCCTGTGCAATCGCGTCAAGGTCAACCGTTTAAATAACACTACTAAATAAGCGTAAGCCTACAGGTAGGACTTTGTTGACACTGATAAATAAATTAATAAGTGGTGTCAGACAAAAGTGCCATCGTCTTCTACCCTACTCCATACTATAACCATACACACTGACATGAGTAGTAAGTGTCATAGAAAATGTAGAGTAGGCTTCTTAAAGTAATAGATTCCGGAATGTGGTACAAAGGTCTGATGAGGCAAGGAAATCGAAAGCTTGGTTACAAGCCCAGATAATTGCTTAACAAAACTGCATTATTTACCAAGACCATGGAATTACGAACTGGTTAGCCACAGCACTGCTCAAACTAGCACGTGAGTAGCAGCTCAGTCATAGCAACTATATTGTTGTTTTTTGACGCGTTTTTCTTTGAGGTGACCTTTAAGTAGTGAGTAAAAATTGGGAAAAGTGCCCGATAGTGTTGAGGGCAATAACATCGGGAAATTTTGATTATCAGAACAATTCAAAGAGAGTTAGGCTGATCAAACTGTATCCGTATTGGGTTGATCACACTACAATAGCAATCAAAGATGACGCAGATGACTGCATTTCCATTGGGCAATTATTCACGAATCAATGCGTCATTTCTCTTAGTTCAAAAAAATTATATAAAGGTGATCATCGTTTTTTTTCAGTTCATTCAAGAAGCCGCGTTAGGGGGCGCTCCCGGGAACAACGGTATTGATATATGTAACCGTACGCTGCCGGGTGCGTCCCCATTTGGAGATAGGAGAATATCGTCAACCAGAGTTAACTGGGACTAATTCATGACTTTCTGTGACAAATAAGTAGTCATGAACAAGTATTGGTGAGACTAAGATAGCAAGGTGGATGACAGACTAGTCACTTGTCTTTCCATAAAATCCATATGAGTCGAATGGTGGTTCCGTGACAAAGGTGGACCTTTCAAAGATAAGGTTACGGACTATCTAACACATCAGATGAGGGTAAAACAGAGAACTGCAGTTCTGCTTTATCATTGGTTGACGTCCATGAACATGAAATATCTCCTCTACCGCGGTCCACGTCTTATGAACCTGCTACCACTCATCTATCTCTAGGGTTCATGATCCCCTGAACATTGGATTATAGCTCCCGACACTGCCTCGCTCTCTTGAGGGTTAGGATTTGAATAACCAAATTCTTCGGATGGAAAACCCTTAAAAAGCTCTCTGACCCGGTCTGAGCAGACGGGAACTCTTCTGTCTTCGGTGATCCCTGGGAATGTCATCTTTTAACAAGTTCCCAAGACGCTTAATGAAGCAGAATCATCCTCAAATATGAGATAGTAGCATAGAAGTGAGAGTTATAGGGAAATGATGTTAATAAACAAAGTGAAACGTCTCTTTGAGTTTGTGTGAGACATGTGAGACTTAATAACGATAAATTCACACTCCTCGAGTACACCATGCGGTTTGTTCACTCCGATGTGGTAAACAGTTTGTATACCAGAGTTAGTTATTCACTGTTGTAGAATAATTTCGGTTTACCTCTTATCGTTCATTGCTTTTACACTGCATCCCAATTTGGTGGTAAACTGGACTGAACTGATGGTACACCGCGGATCGGCAATGGTTGAGCTACTTTTAAGGAAAACGGCCTCCTGCAACGTAGATTGCCTAACTCGTGAATTGGAACTCACGAAAAGAATGGTTATAGATTACAGCAGTTTGATGCGGCCAGCTTTACGGCTATAACTCACACGGTGTGCACGGGGGATAATGCATGTTTGACTATCACTACTGCTTAAGCCTGACCTTTAGCTTGACAACATCGCTTATTGGGGGAAAATAATGAATGATGTTGGTCCGAATCGGAACAAAGGGCGTTAACATTGCAAGTTCAGTTCAGTTCAGTTTATAGAAACACTAACCAGGCACTGTCGTGTGGTGTTGTGTGGTTGGCGTCTTTTAGCTACCTGTTTGGGTGGAGGACAGGGGGAAGATCAAACTGCTGGAAACGGCATCAGTGTGAAAACGCAAAATTCGGATGGACAAAGGTATCAAGAATAGTGAGTAGATCTGTGAGTACGAGTGCCCATGAACCCTAAGAAACTCGCTCATTTAGCGTGCGTTAGGCTTCCTAAATCGGGACCCCGGGATCACCGTAAACAGTGTCTTGAGACACTGCGTGATATGGCTGTATCGTAAACAGAGACGGTTGTGCATCTACTCATTGTCCTTGCAACCTTGATCCATGTGAATTTTCAATGTTCTCGTTTCATTCATTCTTCTTCTGTTTCAACCAAAGGGGCAGTTGTGAGACAGCGACCGAAACCAACGCACTCAACTGCATGGTTAATGGTTGTAAAAGTAAAAGTGAACTGAACTAAACTGAGATCAATCTGATGAAAAACGCAAATCCGAATGTGCAAAAATGCCAAAGTATAACGTCCCAGCCAGCAGGGTATTCCTTTTCATAGATGTGTATTATCCTTAATTTAGATCTTCTAGGCAACAAATATTTATCAGGATAATGAGTTTATAACAATCACTACTTCTCACGATACATATCTTCGCCTTTAAAAGCATGCTACCAAATCAATGCTCATTGGAGTTTTGCCACATCTCTAATTTGTATCTGTTTATTTGTCTCCTGTTTCGCATTTGGGTTCCACATGCAACTCGTAGGTGATAAAAATAAAATAGCCTCAATTATATGCACATACTTACTGTAATAGGAAAAACTAACTACTAGTTATGTGTGGTATCGTGTACGTTTACCATCTCTGATAGAAATCATTGCCTCAGAGGAATGCAGGAAATTAATCTTCTTACCGTAACTCCGCAGCTGACTCCAGAGACCACCACAGGATGATTTGAACAGTGAGGACATTCAGATGTGGGCATTTTATGGTGTTCCAGAACCTCGTACGGGGACAGAACCTGCACTCTCCGGTTAGCCCGAAGACAGTGTTCGCATAAGTTTGCCTTCGAACCACGAATCGGGGCGCTTTCTACTGAACCAAGTCTGGCTGATGTGCTCGTTTCCTACATAGGAATAATTACCACGGAAACAAGGCAGTGTTTAGAAAAAAGCAGATTAATTTCATTATTCTGAAGAGGTATGTGGACAACGTAGTTAGCATACACAACGTGAGTTCATACCTTGGAAATGCTTGTGAAGGTGAAGAGAGTTACTGATTTCGAGTTGATATACGTGAAACAAAATATTTTCACGAAAGAATTTGTCTGCTCCCAGGACGAAAAGAATTTTGGGAATTGATACCAACATACCTGAATGCACAAATATGAAGAACTAGCAGATTTAACACTTGTTTGGATCCAGATAGTAGGTCAATCAAATCACGGGACAATTATTTGTAAAAAATATCACTCCGTACTTTCTTTTTGACCACTCCAATTCGACATTGTGAAATCCGATGCAAATGATTTTATCGGGGGATTGGCAACTGGAGTGTGGGAACAGCCAAAGCTTAAACTGTCAAGGTAGCTGTGCGAGGTGCCACTACTGCATATCACAAGAGCTGGTGTCCATTTACCCTGATCTCATGCTCCTGAAACTTTCCCCACGACGCTAGGGTCAGAATATGCGGAGTTGCTCTATCGAGTAGGTGACCATGATTTCGCGACCATGATTTCATATATCCATTTCATGCGATTCGTCTTTGGAGACTCCGGTCTCAGGGTTTACATCTTCCCTGAGTTAGCCAAATAACCGCAGTTCATTAACGGAGCTAAGCATGAAGGCCTTTAGTTAAAGAAGCCCTCAGAAGGAGAAAGCCGTAAGTAGGCCTCCTGCTGCAGACTACTTAAAAAATCTAATAAATTGAACTGAGGAAATCTGCTTCGTGGTTCAATCTAAACCTTATTCTTGAAGCATTATTATGCAGGACCATGTATAGGTTGTTAAGAAAATGTATAGTTGAAGTGATTGCGCATAACTTTCAACCATTCTTGAAAACCACTCTACTAATCAACACAATACTTACGCTACGTTGAAGCTGTTCTACAGGACTGCTGCTGCGTTCCTGTGTCCTCGGGATGGAACCGATACTGCTACTGGCTGAGGCCGATAGGGCACTGATCTTGTGTTCAGCTTCTTCTACTCGACAGACGATGGAACGCATCAATGGAGGCTGTTGATGGATTGAAAAGTCTTCCAGTTCCGTTTGTGTGAATCGAGTCCACAGAACTTTTTGCATGCCGACCTGGATGGGATTAGGGACATGTCAACAGAATTATACGTGTATTCACTCAATATCTTGAATCAGGCAAGATACTGTCATTAAATACAACGAACAAAAAATGAATGGCAACGCAAAGTAAGATAAAATGATACAGGAGGAAGGCTTTTTGTGCTTGACGTTGTATGTATCTGTGATACTGTTCGATAGTTCGGTTTGTTTGTGTCGTGTATAAGAAGTTCCGGGGATTCAAAATGGACTTTCAAAATTATCACAGAATGGAATTCTATTCTGAGCTATCTTCTCTCATTGAGTTTTGCATATGATAGGAGTTATCCTGTAGGTCTCAGAAAGCAATTGGAAAAGCTTTGTTATACTCCTACACCAAGTCATGTGCTGACTACATGGACACCTCTCCCAATCATGCAAAAAGATCGCAAACAGCGGTTAAGGACAGTTATCCATAAGCAACAAGTGCCTAAAGGCTTCATTGATACTTACGTTAAGCCTAAATCGGACGCAATCATTGCCAAAGAGACAATGATGTTTGAAAACTGAAGTTTGTGGTGCCTTGCTACACGGAGGGGCCACATTTGGCAACAGTTGAACAAAATAGTGTAACGTTTGACTTTGGATACCAGTTTTATCACAAAGAGGTTTTTTAGGTGACACCACTAAAAAAGCATCAGTCAGCTGCGCATTTGATATCATCTCATAATCCATCGCTAGTTGTTAATTTATTCGCGAGGTAAACGAAGTTGTCAAACACGTCCACTAAGTCACCAGCAACGGTACTTAAGAGATCAGATTCCTATTACTCCTGAACAATCCCTTGCTATTTGAACAGTAGCTTTAGTTAAGTGATTGAAAACACCGTCAAACCGAACCAGAGACCGAGAGCTCAGAAAGTACTCTGTAGCTCAACTTTTCCTGTTCTTTGAGTAACCAGTTAAATTCAGTTCAGTTTGTACAACCATTAACCATGCATTATCGTGCGCCAGTTTTGGCTGTTATCTTTTGGCTCCCCAGGCAGAGTCTAAATGATCGTAGCTCAACTCTTTTCTGGAAGTTGTTACTTTAATAATGCATTCAATAAAATGACTGTTTAATGTAGCATGATAGCGTTTTTTCACCAAAAATTCTGCCCAAAATGGTCGAATAAAGTACTTTATTCACCAAACTGGACTTGAAAAGTATGCCAAACTGGACTAGTTCCATCGACAAGCGGTCGAGAAAAGCTTGCCTTTTTCATACCTTCACCTACTCTAAGTCAGAAACTCTACTTCCATCAAGGAGCTTGATTTCACGTGAGTTTAGATCAGAGAAAGCATTTTGTCGAACATAATCGCAGTGAAACAGATCTCGAACTACTAGCATATTGGCAGCATGGCGCTTGTAAAAAGATTGACAATGTTTCTTTCACGCTCTGGTATACCAAATTCCAAGATGGTAAAAATGAGGACAGGTGAATGTGAGTGAATAAAAGGAGAACCGGCATCATTAGGTTAAATTCAATAAAACAAAGGCAAAAACGGAGGCAATTATTATCCGTCTGGCTACATTGGTCCGACACAAATAATACAACCGTTCCAAATTGTTTGGTTCAGCTGATGTCATCAAACCATCACGACCAAACAAAACTGATAGCAGGACTGAATCTTCAATTTAATGAAGGAAGTTTGACATATGCATATAGTCGAACTAATACTTGTTATGTCGCGTCCATGATGTATATCTATCAAAGTCAACTAAATTATTCTGTGGATTTAAACATCAAATCATTGTGCTCTGCTACGTACATTGTTGTCCTAACACCTTCCTAGTCCCACTTTTTCACCAAATACCGCAGTTTAACCAAGTGACGTCTATGGAATATGGAATTGAACGAACAGCCCTTGTATGCTATTATGAATAGAAACAGGAAGCAAAAATTGTTTGCTGGTGTTAAGTCGGTGTAATGCCAATCGTCTTTAGTGAGAGGAAACCGTTTTGAGGTATCAACAATTATGAATCATTACGCCCAGATAGAAAAAGTCACGTAAAAAATAACTATGACGTTCTAAACATAATCAAGCCAACATAAACAGGTGGAAAAATTCACAGAAAATCAAGTGTAGAACGTATTCTGACCATCAGTGTTTGTTCGGATTGAAATTTTCCTTTCAGTTCCGCTATCTCATCTTTGGTCTGGTTTAACTGAACTTGAAGCGCAGACTGTTGTTCTTTGTGCTCTCGTCGTGCGTCTTTCAGACCGAGGCGCAGTGCTTTCGCTTCTCGCTCCTTTGATGCCAATTTTTGACTCAATGAGGCCAATTGCTCCAGCAGGGTGGAATGCATTGTTTTGGTTGTGCCCTCGCAATCGGATGACTGAGCCTCATCATCCTCATCCGCTGTGGTCTTGAACGCGGATGCAATAGTTTGATGAACTTGAAGCAGACAGTGCTGCAGCTCCCTCTATCAGAGAGAGAGAGAGAGTAGATTAAACACTAATCAACAACAATCTTGTCTAGGTGTGTAAATAGGGTTTTAGTGGTATGTTGCACACCCTAGTATATCCAAGTGATTGCCACAAATGCATAGCAAGAAGTGAAAACTGCGCAGAGAAAATAGGCTTATCCAAAAGGGATTTGAAATAGCGAAGATTGATTCCAAACTAAAGTAAAATCAGTCAATATGTTGGTTATAGTTTTCGGCAGTAGGATGAATGGCGCAATAATCTGAGCACTTTGAAGAATGATTACCGAATAATCGGAGCAGAGATATTCATTGGTTCAGGCCTGACGGAAATCCATTTGGTGAAGCATCCCGAATGCAATTGGTTCACTGGTATTCGCTTATATTGCTGTGTAATCCTATAGCCTTTGCGAGTGTATGGATGCCTTTCTAAGCAAAAGCTGATGGCTAGCCCAGGACATGAGGAAAAATACAAACGACCTCAAGGCAACCAACCGACAGAAACCTCAACACGATCCGGTTCGAGATAACTAAAGCAAGCTTTTCGCGAGATTAATTTCAAAAGAAAAGACCATATTGCAATACTGCACGATTTATGTTCAGGACGGTTTTGCTGCATCTCGAAACGGTGCATGCTGCAGAAAATGCAATGTTTATATAGGGATATAGCATGGCAACCAAATAAATGAAAATACATTGAAGCACCAAACATCAAAGGGGGAGGAGTGGGACCATGTCACCAAGGTAAAGACAGGCTAACAAAGTTCTTTTTATTAACACACAGGGGCCTCCATAGATCAATAACAATCGCCTCAGCAAACCACAGCAATCTTGTTGATCTTCACTTGTGGACAATCCGAAACTCCTTGCCTTGGTCTATCTCGTGTTGCGTCATCAGAAGATGTCGAGCAATGGCTGAGGACTGGGTTTTGTTTTGGAATTGGGAGATCATACTAGAGTTGGCGTACAAATGCAGACGTTCTTTTTCGGCGGATGAGGGTCTCCTAGTTGTTCGGTAGACGATTTGGGGGTCAGCTGTGCAGTAGGTTCGAGCGATGGTTCGAGCAGACGGTTAACGCCATCTCCTTTGAATTAAAGGCACAACGTTTCCCGTACTTCTGCAACTGACGCAACCGGTTCTTTCGTAATTCTCGATTTGCTATGCTTATTAGCGGACGCTTCGGGGTAAGCGTTTTTCGCTAACATCTACCGAAGTTTTGGTAGTTCTTGTCCAATTCTGTTTTTCATGCAGGTTCACCTTGTTCTGTCAAGTAAGGTTCGAACAAGACCACATTTATACTCCAGGGACATAGAGCTCTCGAAGTGTACATATTGACCTGTCCAGGTTTACCTTCGATAAACAGATGGAACAGTTGTTCCATTTTCTCTTCTGATCATGCTAATGTCAAGGAAATGGAGTGTGTTTGTCAAAACTAGTACCATTAGCCCTCTGTCTCTCGATGAAGACCCTAATTCCGTACAGTTATCATACCATTTTTAGGATAGCAATAGTACAATCTACGGAACTCGTCGACCGGGGAAAAAACTGAAAAGAATGTTCTCTCGTTTTAACGCTACTAAGGTAGTCACTTTAAAACTAAATTTTTTTACAGACACACATGAACCGCGTCTTTGGTCTCTTTGAACTCCCGCATGAGAATGGTGGAGTATTTGGTTCTATCTAATCACTTTTCATTTCAGTACGGACATCAATCGTTGTAAGAACACTGCCTTAGCTCGTTCAAACGAACATTGAACAGGGTGGAACTAGTTTTAGTGCGAAGATGCGACAGAATGCCGGTTCCTCTAGTCAACTAACAGCTTTCGAATCCCATTAACTGTACCAATCCGTCTTTGGGTGCTCGGCCACCTGCCTATGTAGAACCGAGTGGCGAACGAGACAAAGAATAGTGGAACACATCCTTGTGTGGGTAAATGAACTGGCAACTGAATCACACCCGAAGGATTAGGGTCAAAGGTCAACCCGACGCCGCACACCGGCGTCATCGATCGCCCGTCGGCTGTCAGCTGTCAGGTGAACGTGACCACGGCATTTAAGCGTTTTATCACGCAAAACTTGGGGTTACTCCAGTTTGTGAAACGATTACTATAAGACTGACATTAGCTAAACTGTAAAATCTCAGGTGTGACTGCTCCTGCTGTTTTATCTCTCATGTATGAAGTTTGAAACATCACGCTCTAAGTTTGAAACTGAAAAAATAATAGGATTTTACCGTTTGTTTTCTGAATACTCTACTTTAAAGAGAACATTCTGACTGGTGATATGTCGCACTTATGGGAATAATTGGCTTTGCCGGCAAATAGGAAATCATTATGGATCTCATAGAACGGACGTGGTTTCACACCAGCAGAATCAAAATCGATTGCAGTAAGTTGCTTGATTTAATAATAGTCAGATTGAGAGGGATTAAGACCTGTATTCACCAATGATATTATCATTCTCAATGTACGAACCTTGCTGACGCTGAGAATCTCGAGAAAAGCACGGAGACGTTCCGGTCCTTCGGGAACTATTGAAAGGTCACGTTCATCTGTGGATTGGCTTTCCAATAACCATTCTTGAAGAAAACCTTGCAAACAGGTTTGAACGGTTTGTTCCACAGTCATCAGGTCAGATAGCCTTGAAATTGGCGAATTCGAATTGTGCAATAGGTTAGACATTTGTCATGCAAATCCTAATGCGAAATACCAATAACAAACATTCAGTTACCAGAGAAAGGAGAAAACATTAGTGAAATGTTTGAAAGAATTCTATACCATTTTGTGAACCATCAAATAGTAGTTAGAAAGGACGCCGTTTTGCAAACTCATCTACTGTCGGTTATAGCGAACTGTGAAAATCGGACTCTGTTACTCTGGTCAGCCGCAGTAAGAACTGATTTGTATCTTATAAAAGCCTGGGCTCGAACTGTGAATCAGTCGGTGAACAGGCACCAATGACGTTGTCTGATGAGAATGTAACTGGAGTTTGGTGTCTCCTGAATCGACTAGATAAACTGAGTGATAATGAATTATGAAGGGTGCTTAACAATTATTATTAACATACCATGAGTGGGCTATTGTCACTAAGGAAAAGTGTAGTGGTAACTTCAAGAAAATGTTAAAAAATCAAGACAAGAATGAGTATGACAGATTGTGGGGACAAAGGGATGGCTAAAATGCTCCCAAATATTGACAAACTTACTTGTCTTCTACTCGTTTCAAAAGCTGACTAATTCGGGCCTGAGATAGTTCCAGTTCTTTCATGCGAGCTTGATCCTGTTCAAGTTCGTGTTTGGTCATGATTAGTTCCGTGTCCAATTTATGTAAATGCTCATCGTTTACGGATTGGTCAACCTGAAATTTAATACGTACACTCCAAGAACAATGTTGGAATCATCAAGTACTATAACAATTTAGAGCCATTGCGTCTGATAAGCGTTGATGACAATTCCTTTACGGAACATGTCACTTTATTTGATATTGATAATCTTTATTAACTTCCATGTAACAAGTAGTCTGGTTGGAATGATTCCAATGGAGCCATAACGGTCAAGGTAAGTGCTGAGATGAGCGAGGTGCGGTGCCCTCAACAAGCTCGCAAAGATGGATTGTGCTACATCGGGCACAGGAAAAATGAAAAGCTGCCCAATCGGCTGCCCAGTAGTCGAGTAGGCAGTTTTCTTGTGTTCTATACGTGACGTCCCGGGTTCAAACCCCAGATACACATTATTGATGACAACAAATCAGGTTGAAACAGCTTTACAGTGCTCCTTAGTTTTAAATTTCACGCTTTATTTGCTCTCCACACGACGAAATCCATCATATAATCCATATTTCATCTAAGGGGAGGAGTTCAAAATTACGAAAGAATATGTGCATGCGAGAAGCACAGCATCAGTGTCGTTTCACTTAACAAAACGATCAGAGAGGAAAAAAATGTTCAAAAATCGAGAGGTCTTCCGCGAAAATAAAACAGAAAAACAGATCAAAGGAATCAAAATGGCCAGTACCGTATACAGCAAGAAAAGCAATCGCATTTATCATTTCGAATTTCTCTCGCTGATGCCGTAAACTATTTACTCAGCTCTGAAGTCCAAATCGATCTTCATATTCATGGCATAACAGTCGAATGGTTACTACTTGCTACAGAGATATCCGGTAACTCTACCGAACCCGTTACGCTCTCTGTAAACTTCATCTTCTAGGAATAATCTAAAAATCTTTCAAACATGACCAGTGATCTAACTCATAAATCATGTTTACTTGTCTCATTAAAAACCGATCTTTCTTCGTTAGCTAGAAGACAGAAGAAAGTAATCGCACTGAGATAGTCGAAGCATTTTTCATAAGATTGGTAATGTCTTCACCATTATCGTATCAATTTTCACGTAAAAAATGGTTCATGCTTTTCATTATTCTTTTCTCCTTCAACTACCACGTTTTTGTGACTTAAACTATTTCTATCTGGGTGGTCTATCCCTTATTTTAGAGTGATGCATGGATAGAAGTGAGCGTGGTAGTGAACAAGTAGTTATGGAAACTGTCAGTATGCGCACTCACCTGGACACCCGATTCAGTTGATTCGCTCTCTTTCCGTAGCCTGTGAATTCAAAGTACGGGAATTTGCGTTCAACGGTGTCCACAAATTCACTGTTTATTGGTGATAGTTATCATTATCGGTGCACTAGATAATCCTTTGAATCTATTAACTGTAAAAACCATTAGTTTTAGCCTTTCCGCGAGATTTCCATGATATCAGTTCTGAGCAGAGAATTCCTCGCAAAAAAACATATTTTCCGCCAAAATTATATAATTAATATTTTTATCGAATGTAGCCATGGAGATGCAATTTTCAGCCCAAAGTTGCTTCAATGTCTCCGTTAGTTGTGTTTCTGATTCCTGCGTTTTATCCTTTTCTTTGGCATTGTAACTGAATTTGCTGTCATCGGCAAGTATAGTCCTCAACTTGTCGTCATATTCAGATCGGTCCAACACCACCCATCTTGCACCTTTATCTGGTCTTGGAAGAATAACATTCCGACTTTTGGTCAATTCTTTAATTACGTTTCTATGCTGCCTCGTTAATATCCCTTTTTCTTGGATTTTCGTTTCTTGATATTGCTGGCAATAATGAACCAATGACAATTTTAGGTTTTCTACACTAGTCCCTGATACAGGTGAGAGGTCATGAAATTGGCTCATCAAATTCTCGAACTGTGTCTCAATCTCTATTCGATTATCACAAGGATGCGACGTGGAAAACTTAAGTCCGTAAAAGATTCCCGTCGATTTGAAAGAAAGCGAACATCCTATGGCGTTAAAAGACCTCAACAGATACTTGAAGTTCAACGTCAGGTTCGCAGAAGAGAAGAATACCGTGAATTTTTTATCGATGAGTATGTGCAAAACGATCGTTATCGGAAAACCTACTGGACAGCGTTGCGTAGAACTCATGTCAAACCAAACACTCGGTCGCTCAGACGTTATGCATTTAATCAACTGGACACAACTCAATCTAGCCTTGATGAAATGGGACGAATGACCTCGAGATACAAAACCGCGGTTGAGGACTTGCAGGAATGCTACCGGAGGAAGTTTGAGGACTGTTAGTTCTGTTTGCTCCAAGGCCGTGGAGAAGAAAAAAGGAAAGTTTCTGAACAGTCTCGAATCCCGAGCACCCCGTCGAAATTTCCGGAGAACCCAGAGATGTATGTGCACAATTATTCATCGTCTAAACTCAGTAAGTTACAAATTGAGGCATTGTCTCTCGGATCTAAGTTTTCCACGTCGCATTCTTGTGATAATCGAATAGAGATTGAGACACAGTTCGAGAATTTGATGAGCCACTTTCATGACCTCTCACCTGTATCAGGGACTAGTGTAGAAAACCTAAAATTGTCATTGGTTCATTATTGCCAGCAATATCAAGAAACGAAAATCCAAGAAAAAGGGATATTAACGAGGCAGCATAGAAACGTAATTAAAGAATTGACCAAAAGTCGGAATGTTATTCTTCCAAGACCAGATAAAGGTGCAAGATGGGTGGTGTTGGACCGATCTGAATATGACGACAAGTTGAGGACTATACTTGCCGATGACAGCAAATTCAGTTACAATGCCAAAGAAAAGGATAAAACGCAGGAATCAGAAACACAACTAACGGAGACATTGAAGCAACTTAGGACTGAAAATTCATATTTCTACTGATCCGGTTTTAAAGCATGCAGCTTATGTCGCTTTCTGGCAATCGGTGCGCAACTGTGTTCGACTCACTTGGTTTTGATACAGATTGTGTCATATATCACACCCTTTTATTCAGAATCTGGTCTCACAGTTTATTCGTCCAGATGTTCTCTGTTTCGAGTTCAGCATTACCACTGACGATATATGTACTATTCAGAAGTCTTTGAAGAAGTTGTGCGTTGTGCTCATAGTTTCAGATCCGTATAGGAATGTTTGGATTAGCCACAACGAGAGAAAACCAGAAAACGTCGTCAACCGAAAATTGTTGTTTTTGGAATCGGCCAATGGTTCAGTTCAGTTTAGTTTTCATTGTTAGGACGGAGCCTAGGCAACCCGTCCGATCGTGCACCCCTGGAGTCAGGCCACACGGACGCTCGCAGCGCTCCAGACGGGTTGAGCCCAATTGGATGATCACAGAACGAACCAGCCAATATTCGTTCGATCGATCAATCGATCAACCGAAATGTCATAAACGCAATCTGATTGATTGGTGCGTCACTGCGCCGTTCTCGAATGCGTGAACTGTATCGAAATTAAATCAAAATGATACACACTGACTGTCTTCTTAAGCTGTGTTTCCTCTGCACGTTATCGTTTGGGGTTAAGCAAGAATAGTTCGTCATTCGTATGTTTAGACCAAACAACATTTACAACCATTAACCACTGGCTTATAGGTTGTCCATTGATGGACATATTCCGTTTTTCAACAAGTTCGCGCATCACACCGTGCATTCTAACCGGTTCACCTGCTACTCTGCCGTTCCAATCAAAAATATCTTCCTAATAGCAATAAAAAGTTTAGGAAATCATCTCTTCCGCAGTAAGGTTTGATATTAACATCCGAAGAGAAGGTGATAATTAAACGACACTCCACTGGCGCTAGGTAAATCCGCCTAATGCGGTGATTCGTGTCGTAGAGCATATTGTTCCACGCTTTTACTCCACTCCATTCTGCATACAAAATCAATATGATGCCTGTTTGCAACTTAAATGCAACCAACTACAAACAAAAATCAGATAAGTACAATGCCATTTATATCGAGATGTGACTGAATATCCCGGAGATACTTCCACTCCTGAGAGAAAGTCAAATATTATGATCTTAAAACGTTCGGCTGTTTAACAGCTTACGCTTATTATGTGCGTTTTTATTCTAGGTTTGACTCAGGAGTACGGGATACATTCACATCTGAACCGGAGTTCAGTCAGTTCACACCATTCAAATCAGAATAATCGATTGCACTTTTTTGGTATTTTTCCGTAACGCTGTGTAGCGACCAGACAACGCCACATATGTGATAGCCCAAAAAAGGGTTTTCGGTAAACAGACTCGGATTAAGCTGAGTGTAAATAATATGTGACGAGACTTACTCCCGGTTCAAAAGCTCTGTCTGTTGCACCGTGGTATTCTTGTGCTGTTCCAATTGACTATGTAACCGAGAAAATTCCTCATTCCAAGATTTCTTCTTCAACTCCCATTTTTCTCGTAGTGTGCAAATATCAGACTGGTGGATATAGTTTAGAAAATGGGGTTAAATCACGTGGTACGGATTAACGTGAAACCGTTGTTAGTGGGTGTATCTCGGTTCCAACAACGCTAGAGGATACTTACTTAGACACACTTAAAATAGTTACTGGCTTCCAAATTAAACTAACTCGGTTGGATCAGAAGAAAGGTCAGGACGATAGAGAAGACCAAAAACATTCGTTCTGCTGCATACGGATGTAGATTTCTATCGGTAATCCGATGAGTGAGATAACATTCAACGTACACTGGACACTACACTGATTTTGATTTTTATCTTCGGCAGTAAATCTACAAGACCAAACAAATATTAATTAGTTGATTTGACTGATCGCACTTCAGACTTCAGCATCAGGTACAATCCTCAAAAACACCCCATGAATACTAGACAAAACTTTGGGTCTCGTTGGAATATGCATTCGATTCTATTCTCTCCCTCTGTTTGTTTATCCTACAACTCTAGCGCGCTCTGACAATATATTTCAGTTCAATTCAATGGCTCCCAAGTATTTGGATAGTAAAACAATATAACACAAAATACATCTAATGTCATAGTCCTCATTGAGAGTTCAGTTGTGTTCCTATTAGACATGGATCACTATTTTAGCACCGGCTTGGGGATAAGCATGGTGCTAACGCTAAAATAATAATAGCAATAACAATAACAGGGGATGGGTGGATTAGGATACAGAACAGAGTGAAAAGAAGGCGAAACTGTTCAAATGGAAAATTGTAGATAACTGAGATAAGAATATTCTTTCTGTTTCACCGTCTTCTCTACAATGCAAATGTCTTCCGGCCTTGTAAGAGTGACTTGGTGAATCAGTAAATGTCTGGTTCATTTTTTCCTTAAAATAGATTATCATCCGTGCTTCACTTTAACTTATAAATTTTATTGATTTTTCTAAGCTTTCAAACAATACACAAACTTGACCTCAGCGGTACGTGCAAAATAAGTTGGTGCATAGGCAATGTATTGATCGATTTCAAACTGCTTACTATGTAGCCAAAATCGTTAGATTTACCTTTAAATGGGCAACACGCTCCAGATCTACACGAGACGACTCTAGTTTTAATTGTAAATCACGAA